CTGTGGGTTCTCTCCCCAAGTGGCCACAACAGCTGAGCTGAGCTCAGTAGAACTGAAGGCAGGAGCCAGGAGCTCGTCCAGGTCTCCCACCCAGTCACAGGGTCCCAAGGCTTTGGGCCGTCCTCCACTGCTTTCCCAGGCCACAGGCAGGGAGCTGGGTGGGAAGTGGAGCAGCCAGGACACGAACCTGCGTCCTTCGGGGTTTTGGCGCCTGTAGGTTGAGGCTTTAGCCACTGAGCCAGAGCGCCCGCCTTCGTACCTCAGAGTGACAGCTGGGCCAGCCAGCCAGGATCAGCCAGAGGCGGGGATCTCAGCCCAGACTGGCACCTCGCTCAGCCATTCAGGGTCCGCCGTAGGGCTATGCGAGGGCGGCTTCTCTACTCAGACTGGCACCTGGCTCATCCAATCAGTGTCCGCCAGGGGCGGGAGAAGGCGGTGTCTATAGGCAGACTGGCATGTCGCTCATCCACTCAGAGTTGCTCAAAGGCGGAGACGAGGGCTGGGTCCACAACGCAGATTGGCACGTCCTTCATCCATTTAGAGTCAGGCACGGCGGGCACGAGGGCGGGACTCTCAGTACAGACCGTCACCCAGTCTGTCACCAACAGGTGGATGGAACGAGAGGGTTCTCAACGGAGACTGGCACTTCTTTCATCCAGCCAGGGTCAGATGCGGAGAGTGCGGGCCGGGGGAGGGGCCCGGCTTCTCCGGACGGAGTGGCATCCGGGTCCCCCAATCAGAGCGAGGCAGGGCGAGCTAGAGGGCGTGTCTCTCCAAGCAAACTGGCAGCTTCTTCATCCTTTCAAAAGCAGCGAGGGGCGGCAGCCTCTACCTAGACTGGCACCTCGCTGGCCCTATCAGAGGCACTGGCGGGCGGCCGGGCAGGCGAGGTCCTCAGCGCAGACTGGCACCTGGCTCATCCAGTCAGGGAGAGCCAGGGGCTGTCTGGGCACATGTGGGCGGGGCCTAGGAAACACCTGGGGACTGGGCGTTTCTCTCTGGTGGTTTTTGTTCCCCGAGGTGTGTCATGACCCCGGTGCTGTGGCTACAGCCCAGGAGGAAACTCCATGGGCAGGTGCTCTACACCGAGAGAAACTGGCCTTAAAGTGAGTGCGCACCATGGCGCGGGATGAGTACACACACACCCGACGTGACACCCCCCAAACCCACGTGGCTGTCAGACGCCATAGCTCCTGGCCAGCACCAGCAGCTGGGCGCACTTGTCCTCTGTTTTCGGGCCAGGATATCCGGGGCGGCCTCCACGAGAGGATCCCTAAATAAAACCCCCAATGTGTCGGGCCCCTCTCCCTCTCTGCTGCATGTGCAAACGGATGCTCAACGCATTTGCTACACTTCCCTTCAAAAACTGGGCTGCAGACTAGCCAACATCACTCATTTCAGCAGCCACCAACCCTTCTGGCAGCAGCTTCAAATCAGCACCAGGTGGCGCCTTGGGCGAAGCCTTGGCCTGCGGGAGAGCCTGCCTGTGGGCGCTGGCTCTTCCATCCCACCCAGCTCCCTGTTGTGGCCTGGGACAGCAGTAGAGGATGGCCTGAAATGTAAGGACCCTGCAGCCGCGTGTGAGACCAGGAAGAAACCCCTGGCTGCCGGCTTCAGATGACCAGGCTCTGGCTCTTGCTGTCCCTTGGGGAGTGAAGCAGTAGATGGGAGATCTCTGTCTCTGCCCCCCCCTCCTCCCTCTCTCTGTCTCCGCTTATGAGTAAAGAATATTTAACATGATGATATTTCTATCATCGGGCACATTTAGCCATCATTTTCTTTTTGAAAGATACTGCATTAGCATTTATTTTGATGTTTGACTTTTTTTAAAGGTTGGCTTACTTGGATAGTCAGAACAAAGGCGAGAGAGAGACCCAAAGAGAAAGAGAGCTTCCCTCTGCTGGCTTGCTCCCCACCTGATCACAACAGGCGGGTTGGGCTTGGCCCAAGCCAGTAGCTAGGAGCTTCTTTTGGGTCTTCTATGTGGCTGCAGGGGCCCAAGGACTTGGCTCATCTTCGGCTGCTTTCCCAGGCCATGAGCAGGCAGCGGGATGGGAAATGGAACAGCCTGCCTCTACCAGCATGTGATAGGAAGCCTGTGTCACCAGCCAGGCATAGTTTGACCGGTCACACGGCATACCTAAGGACAGATATTGACTGCCCAGCCCCTACTGCTGCCCTGGAGCAGGCACACGCAGGTTGGCCTGCACTCACATGCCCCTGCAAACAAACCTTTACAGGAGCCAACCCACCCCTCCTTCAGGAATGGGAAGCGCTCACGCTGTCTGTACCGCATCCAGGATGTCTCCCACAGTGACCTCACACCCGGGACATAGAGAGACACACTCTCTGGCCACAGGCCTGGAGCTTCCTGCTGGTGGACACGGATCACGTGAGGTTCTGGGAGGGTTGCCATAGCCATCCTCCAGGAACCAGCAATAGCACGGCCAGATTGTGGGTCCCTCACCTACCGTGGTCTTAAAAGTGACCTCATCCGACTTTGGGTGGCGGTTCCCCAATCTCCGGGTAATACGGCGGTTGGGAAGCTGCCTGTGGTTTCTCCTCTTGTATCCTCCTCCCCCACGTACGCGGGATGAAGAAGAAGAAAATGAATCAATAGGGTCTCACTCACTATTCCCTGATCCTGGACCCCTCCCACCCTGACCACCTGTGTAAACAGCATTTTTAAACAGTGACATCACCTGTGATGGTGCAGTCAGCACCTGTGAGTGTAAATTTCCACCTACGATGCTGATGTTGTCTCTTAAGACAGTGACATCATCGCCTATGATGCAGACATCATCCCCCTACATGGGCTGCTGTTAGTCAAGCTGGAATGTTGGATTATAGGCTGGTGGTGTCGAGGCAGAGCATGTCCCCATGTCCCCGCTGAGAGATGGGCAGATGAGGACGCCTTCCATATAGAGTGTCATCTGTGAGATCTGAACATTTGAGCTTGCTGTGGTGATGGGTTTAAACAGAGGAGCACACAGGCTTGTACAAACGGGATTTCTGATCATTTTCCTTGTCTTAGACCTGAAGCAAAGGATCATGAATCTAAAATTTACAAATTAATCAAACTTTTTATGTAGTTGTAGCTGACTGAATGTGTGTGATCTCTGTATTTTCACCTTTCAAGCAGGTATAAACCTTGCAAAATTAAGAAAAGAGAAAAAGTGTCTCGAAACAATTAAGCTTCAAATTTAAGGACAGAAATATTGGATATTGTACTTTAGGCAAGATGAAGAGAAAATGAGGAAAAACACAGAGCAGCAGTATAAATTTTAGGAACTCAATAGAAAACAGAAACTAAGCCAGAAGTTTCTTTGAAAACACTAGCCAAATTCAGAAACTTTCAGCAGAACCATGCAAGACAAAACAAAACAGAGCGAACATAAAGAACAAACATCTGTAAAACTGGAGCATACAGCAGTACCGATTCTTCAGATGACAATTACATAAAACGGAACATAAAGGGAAGTTACTCAAAATTTGTATTTTAGGGCCCAGTAAGGCAGTCTAGTGGTTGAAGTCTTCAACTTGCTTGCACTAGGATCCCGCATTGGCACTGGTTTGTATCCCGGTGGCCCCACTTCCCATCCAGCTCCCTGCCTGTGGCCTGGGAAAGCAGTCAAGGATGACCTGAGGACTTGGGATCCTGCACCACCATGGGAGCCCCCGAGGAAGCTCCTGGCTCCAGATTGGCTCAGCTCTGGCCTTTGCAGCCACTTGGGGGAGTGAACCGGCAGACAGAAGATCTTTCTCTCTGTGTTTCCTTTTCTCTGTATATCTGCTGCAGGATGGGAAGCAGGGCTGCTGTGATACAAATCGATGCCGATACAAGATCCTGGTGCTCGCAAGGTGAGGACTCTAGCCAGTAGGCTACCTTGCCCGACCCAGACAATTCTTTTCTAAAAACTGTATTGTAAATAAAATTGGAAACTTTATCAGTAACACAAAGAGATACATAACATTTATCCTTTTTATCTATAAAAAGGATTAAATTCACTAAAAGAATGAAAGCAGAGTGAAAAGCCAAAAAAGGTTAAAGAAAAAACCTGTTCTCCAGGAAATCCAAGGCACTCCTGGCTTCACTGTGAAATTGTAGTAATCATTGATGGTAGAGATGGTGTCAGGTCTCTAAAACTCTTCGAGGCAGCTGAAGAGCACACTGTCCAGAGAAATTTTCACCACCAGGATTATCTGCTACCAAAACCCGCTAAAACGGTTTTGGAAATATCGTTAGTGACCACCGTGACGCACCAACAGACACAAAATCTGTCAACGAGGTTGGCTGGCATTGTGACACAGTGGGTGAAGCCCTCAACTACGATGCTGGCATCCCATGGTGAGTGCCAGTAGGTCTAGGCTGTACTGCTTCTCATCCTGGCCCCTGCTATCGCACCGGGAGAGACATGGGAAATGGCTGAATTGCTTGGACCCCTGCCAGCGATGTGGGAGACCAGGCTAGAACTCCTGGCTCCTGCTTCTGCCTGGCCCTGCCCGGGCCATTGTAGCCATTTGAAGTGTGCAGCAGTGGATGGAAAATTTTTCTGTCTTTCCCCACCTCTTTTTGTGCCTTCCAAATAAATAAATGGTAAAAGTTGTGTAGAGAAATCTCACTTTCAAACTTTAAAATGCACATTTTAAATCAGTCAAATCAGATATACCTCACGGCATGAAAATAAATGCTCCCATGTTTTTATTTATTTAGTAAAAGAACATGAGCCAAGCTAAGGATGAAAAACACGTAACTCTTTTAACATACTAGCAACGATCAATGGAAAATTGAAATTGAAACAATATCTGTTACTACAGCATAACGACCTCATGAGCAGGAGGTGCTAGGTCTGAGTCCTGGGGGCAGAGGGTCTAGCGGGACTCAGGGCATCTGGGCCGGGTCCTTGGGCCCACCTGCGTGGCGGGTGCAGCTGCACTAAAAATATTTGGCAACGAGTATGCAGCAGTGGGCTGAGGGTTGAGAAACACTTGTGTGATAGTTAGTAACCTTCTGCGTGTCCATCGGGTGGGTCATGGCAAGCAGAAGACGGCACTGAGGCTGCACGAGACGTGCCAGGGTCAGATGTCTCATTCATGCCTGCATCCTCACAGAAGTTCAGACTCATTTTCCTCACGACGGCGTCTTTCATGAAGTCATCACCTTTGGGATTGCTCAGGTCGGGGGAGCTGACGTGGGGGAGCTGCCGCTGTATTTCTTCACACTTTCCCAGAGTCTCCCGAAGCAGCCGCAGGTTGCCCCGCTGGCTCCGCTCCTGGGCCTCAGCCAGCAGGCAGCTCAGCTTGGTGGTCAGCTCTGACAGGCGCTCGGCTTCCACCTGTGCCTGCCCTATCTTACATCTGTATTGGTCTTTCATGTGTCTCTCCAGGTCTTTCTGCTCTTGGTACAAATAGTAAGTCAGCTGCCCAAACTCTGAGGACACATGTGCCACCTGTGCATTCATCTGGCTCATACCCTCCATCAAGCGACTCTCCTCCCTGGCCTTGAGGTTCTGCACAGCCTCCAGGTGCCTCCTAAGGGGTTCCAGCTGCTCCTGCAATTGGGTCTTGTATGCCTGCACCACCTGCCCCAGTGGCACCACACTGTGCTTTCTGTGGCCCCGGGATGCGCGGCACACCACACAGATGGCCTCTTCATCTACGGTGCAGAAGAGCTTCAGGGCTTCCTGGTGCTTAGGACACATGTTCTCATTTACAGGCCCCCCATGCTCAGAGGTTGGCTGCATCTGCCGAATCACCTGCACCATGTTGGCGAGCTCCACGTTGGGGCGGAAGCCTGACTGACAAAATCCCTTTCGGCACTGAGGGCAGGTGAACAGCCTCCAAGGCACTTCAGGGGGAAGCACAGGGTTAACAGGCTGCAGTTCCTCTTCCTCATGCTCTTCTAGAACATTCTCTTCATCCTCGCCCATAAGCTCTTCCTGTGTATCTGCCACGTCCAGGACTTCCTCTTCCCTGTCCTGCTCCTCCTCCTCCTGCTCTTCCTCCTCCCTGTCCTGCTCCTCCTCTTCCTCCTCCTCTTCTTCCTCCTCCCCTTCCTCCTCCTCCCACATGTAATCTGTGTTGTCCCAGCTGGAATCTGGGATCTCACCGGCCTCCTCCAAGTCACCCTCAAATTGTTCCCCTAAATTGGAGGCGTCCGACCCTTCAATGCTTTCCACAGCCTCCTCCTCAGCCAATCCGATCGCATTCCACTCTTCCTGCTTCCTACTCCACAACTGAGTTATACATTCTCGGCAGAAGTTGTGCCCACAGCGGATGGACACAGGGTCTGTGAAGTAATCGAGGCAGATGGAGCACACAGCCTCCTCTTGAAGTGTCTGCACTGGGGTGCGCTTCGTGGCAGGGGCATCCATGTCACTGTCCTGTAGTCTGGGAAGACATACAGTGCTAGGGTCAGAGGGGTGCATCTTCCCTTTCAGAAGCCCTGGCATTCTGCCCCCTCCCCGCTTTCCTCACTGGAATGAAACTGCTGTGGGTCACCACCCAGGGCCTCAGGAAGCATGGAGACAAAATTCTCCCTGATGCTCTCCTGGTCGTCTCACCAATCCCCGCCCCTTGGCTTCCAGGCTCCCTGCAACACTTCCGCTGTGTGAGCACAGGTTCCTGCAAGACTTCCCATATGAGAGCACAGGCTCCTGCAAGACTTCCCATGTGAGAGCACTAGCCTCGTTCCCGACTTCCCTCCTTTGGAATGGTTTCGCACCCTCTCTTTCACACACACACACCTGTGCCCTGTGTCTCAGGGAGTCAGAGAACTGGGAGACAGCAAAATGTCAGTTCTAGGCCACACTCAGGAACAGAGCGGGAAGGCTAGGATGGTGGAGGCCCACGCCTCTATGGTACTGAAGAGCCAGGAGAGCTGGTAGAAAAACAGCACGTCCCCGGACTGGGGAGGAACCTCGGTGGCTGTTGGTTGTTGGTGTTACAACTTCACCAGCCAGACTTCATCCTGCTGGCTAGCCATTGATGATGACAACAGGGACTGCCCATGGCTGGAAGCTGGCCGCTTGGACCTGGAATTATTGGAAAGGTCAATTTACAGAGAGAAGAGACACAGAGAAAGAACTTCTGTCAGCTGGTTAGAGCCTATGCAGACCCAGAACCCTTTCCCTGGTGTCCCAGGCAGTGCAGGATCCCAACGCTTTGGACCATCCTCTGCTGCTTTCCCAGGCCACAAGCAGGGCGCTGGATGGGAAGTGGAGCAGCTGAGACATAACTGGCATCCATGTGGGATCTGGGCGATGGCAAGGCGAGGATTTAGCCAGTGACCCATTGCTCAGGACCCTGTTAAAACCATTTCTGAGCAGAGTGTGTCAGAACCTAAGCCCTGGGCAGCTCAGATGCAGACAAAAGCTTAGAGATGCGTGCAGATTGAGTGCAAGGTTACAGTTTCATGAGGGTCTTGATATATGTGGTTTTCCTTTGGACTGTGCTGTGGGAGTATCTTAAGTGACCCAATAGAAAATATGCCTTCTTCATAATAACATTTTCATATTACCGACCTGATCATGCACACTCTTAGAAACAACATACTTCGCCTGCAATGCTGTGTGTGTTGTCTTCAATCCTGCAGGTAGGGAATACTGTGTGTTAATTATAACTTAGCCAAAAATCTGTCCAGAGGACTGTGGCTGGTTTTCATCTTTCACATTTTTTTTTGTCCTCAAGAAAGTCAGAATTACATTTTTCCTAAGAGATGAACTTGTTGTGTATTCTTTTAGCAATAGACTCACAAAAAACGACAAATCCTGGTGAGGACAGGGTGAAAAAAGAATTCTGATACTCTTCAAGGGAATGTAAATTGGCCACTAGGAGAACAATATGGGCATTCATCCCTAACCTGAAAAGAAATCTATCTTACAACCAACCCGGTTTTCCCATTTCTAGGTATATGTCCCTGGGAAATTAAATCAGCATATCAAAGAGATAGGCGTGTTCCTCACTTCATTGTATCATGATACTCAACAGCTAAGAAATGAAGTAAAATTAGTTGTCAATAAATGAAAGGGTGGGGCCAAGCGGCGTGGCCTAGTTGCTGGGGTCCTTGCCTTGAACGCGCTGGGATCCCATATGGATGCTGGTTCTAATCCCGGTAGCTCCACTTCCCATCCCGGCTCCCTGCTTGTGGCCTGGGAAAGCAGTCCAGCACGGCCCAAAGCTTTCGGTCCCTGCACGTGTGTGGGATACCTGGAAGAAGTTCCTTTGGATCGGCATAGCATCTGCCGTTGCGCTCACTTGGGGAGTGAATCATCGGATGGAAGATCTTCCTCTCTGTCTCTCCTCCTCTCTGTAGATCTGACTTTCCAATTTAAAGATTTATTTTTTATTATTTTCTCATTGGAAAGGCGGATATACAGAGAGGAGAGACAGAGAGGAAGATCTTCCGTCCGATGATTCACTCCCCAAGTGAGCGCAACGGGCCGATACTATGCCGATCCGAAGCCAGGAGCCTCTTCCGGGTCTCCCACGCGGGTGCAGGGTCCCAAAGCTTTGGGCCGTCCTCGACTGCTTTCCCAGGCCACAGGCAGGGAGCTGGAAGGGAAGCGGGGCTGCCGGGATTAGAACCGGCGCCCATATGGGATCCCGGGCGTGCTAGGTGAGGACCTTAACCACTTGCGCCACCACGCCGGGCCCTGACTTTCCAATTTAAAAAAAAAAAAACACTGAATACTCAAACATCCACAACTTCTAAAAAAAAAATGAATGGGTGGAGAAAGAAAACTTAATATGTACACAATGGGATCTTATTCTGCCTAAACAATTAAATGCCAACGCTCACAGCAAAATGGATAGAACTGAGGACATTGGGTTATGTTGCATCAGCCAAACACAGTCAAGGAGCAGTCACTGTGCTCCTTTGCAGCATCCTTCGCTTATTCCTCTATGTTTTCATGAACTGTAACCAGTTCTTTTTCACAAGTAGAAGCTAAACAACTGTTTATATAAACATGCACTAGTGATGACCACAGCTTGGGAAGAATAGAGCTATAAGCCACACCCATTTTGACTCTCAAGAGTGCCAGGAGGTTTTGGAACCTAGCCCAGTCTGGTCATCCTGCAGACCCACCCACATGCATGCCTTGCCCAGACCCGCCCACTCATAGCCCCACCTCTCCCACTCACCAGTGAGAGCTGCATCCGAGTAAGGGAGTCTCCAGAGTCTTTTCCAAGCCTCAGGTCTTGCGCAAGCTGATGGATGCTTTGAGTCACCTGACACAGCCCGCCTACAGTTTCAGCTGCTTCTGGTGCGTGTAGTAGCGTAGACTAGCTATGCCTGGCCTGCACACTGTCCTGAATGTCGTGCCCTCAGGGGAACCTGTGGCCTAGTAGGGAAGCTCCCCCATGTTCCCCTACAGGGGCTGCTCCCTGCTCTGGAACCCAACTAATGACAACACTGGCTCAGCACGAACACTAATGGCCTGACTGAAGGAAACAGACACATTGCAACCAGAGGAAGAGACGAGGATGGTAGACTACTTCTCAGCATTGACGCCAGCCAGGATTCTTTATTCAGTCCCAGCATGTTCCAAAAAACTATGTCATTGCGGGGATTTAGAGGCTGCCGGACAAATTCTACCAGTCACTGGCTGAAGAAATGATGCCACTTCTCTAAAATTCTCAAGAAAATCGGAGATCATACTGTTCAGCACAGTTTAGACTGCCAGCATTACCTGACACCAAAACCCAGATGAAGCTCCTGACGTGGCAAGGCACATGAGTGAACCAGCTGATGGAAGTTCTCTGTCTCTTCCCTTTAATCCCAACTGATTTCAAATTAAATAAAGAAGTTTCTCTTCAAACTTGGTAGGTGTGTGTTGATTTCACTAGTAAGGTATTGAGACAATTCACTCAGAAAATATATTTTATTGTAAGAACAGTTTTGAAACAGTGGTACACGAGCATGAAAATGAATGAACCACCAACATTATTCTACAACATGTATAGGAATTAAATCATAATGCACCATGTTATAAAACTTTTCCACATTATAAAGCTTTTGTAATAAATTGTCAAATTCTATGACATAGGTTTACAAAGATTTCTTAGGATACAAAAATCAGAAACTTACAACTTGGACCACTCATCAATTAAGTTTACTACACGAAAAAGTGCCCCTCTGTAAAATATACTTCAAAGCTGAAGAGCAGAGTGCATAATGTAAGAAAACTTTGGAAAATCTTATCTGGAAACGTCACACCAAATATCCGGAATGTAAACAACTGTGCTTTGACGTTGCATGAGTTAGGAAACTTTTCAAAAACATTTCTATTTATGGTATGATTCAGTCTTCTTACTCCTATAGAGTTCTAGAGACTTTCAAGAGAAATTTACGCACTCATCAAAACTCCTATTCAAATGTTTACAGACACTTCCTTTGTAACAGGCAAACGTGGAAATCACCCAGTTGTTGAACAACTGCTAAAGGACAAAGTGAAATTCATGTGAAACAATGCCGCTCAGTGTATGCATTCAGTGATGCGTATTGCAGCTCAAATGGACCCAAAATGGGGTAGGCTAAATGAAAGAAGTCAAATCTAAAAGACCAAACACTGAGCATCCTAACGTGTAGGGTATTCCACCAACAGAAAATTACAGACAGAACATGTGTTAGTGGTTCCCAAGGATTGGGAGTGAGGAAAGAGGAATTGTAAAATGGCCAGGGAAAATGATCAAATCCCTCTATATTTTATTGTGCTCAGTGGTTACATCTGTCCTGATTGATCCAAGTGTACACTTACAGAACAAGTGCCCATATGGAATGGCAGCCTTACAAGAAGGTGGATTAACCCACGGCACTGCAATGAGACACCCTAGTTCTTGCTGTATTTTATACTATTTCATCTTTGTGAACAAATTTTTAAAGAGTTAATTTCAAATGCAGATTTTACAGAGAGGAAGGAGACAGAAAATGTGCCCTTCCATCACCTGCTTCACTCCCCAAATGGGAGCAATGGCAAAAGCTGAGATGATCCAA